ATTGTTCCAATAGGTTGTTCTCTTAATGACTTGAGTCAAATGTTCTCAGGTTTGGGGACCATTGGCTCTGTCCTGATTGATGGATCTGGATATACAGAGCTGAAGGTTGATGATGGCCTGACTGCTGTGGCTGTAAGTGACAACATCCTCCTCTGGATTACAGTCACTGGTAAGAGTCCAAGCATGTACTGTAATAACTGACTATAATTCCTAAAATTCAAATGACATCTTGGCCGGAGCAGTTTTGGTAAATGACTACTTCATAACATGGATAATGGCTCCACAGGAATCAACATCTTTGAGTATAAATTTAATGGTACAACTATGACCTTTTGTTCCTTCAGACAAGACCCGACTCTGGTACAAAGAAGCTCAGCAGGATAAGAAATTATGGTTTGAGGTTGGCACACAAGTGGTCGGCTTAAAGGCATTCAGCAAACCCAGTCAGATGGGTATGTAAGAACCACAAACGGAACACCTGGGTTAGGAAAGGCTAACCTGCCCTTTTTAAAGATGTTTCTACATGTCATGTACAAAAAACCAAACTACCTCATGCCTAAATATCTGCTTGATTTCATCAGGCTCTAACCCGTGCACAGAAAACAATGGGAACTGTGAGCACTTGTGCCTCGCCACCCCAGCAGGTCGCACATGCAAGTGCTCTTATGACCACATCCTTCTGAATGCCACACAGTGCAGCCCAGAGCAACACTGCCCAGCTGGCAGCAGGCCCTGCCTCGATCACCTCTCATGCCTGCCTGTGGAGAAGTTTTGCGATGGACGTGGAGACTGCACGGACCATTCCGATGAGAACTGTGGGACACAAAATTAAAGACTAAAACTGCTCCTGTAGATGATGACACCTTATTGCACCTTGGCTAAAACTTTTTTTTTTTCCTTTCATAAAGGTGTTGGCACCCAGCGGCGCCCAGGAGCTGAGGTCTTGGCTCCCACTCAACCTCACAGCTCTCCTCCTCCTCCTTCCAGTGTCTCTCCTGTCTCACAAGTCACAGGTCTGCACACAACACTGAATGTCAGCATTCAGCGTGTGAACCTGGATGCCCAGCAGTGCAGCCAGAGGCGCTGCAGTGGTAACGGACACTGTGTAGAGACGAAGGGAGTTACTACATGTGTGTGTTCACTGGGCTACAGCGGCGATTCCTGTGAAAACCGGCTCGTAAAAACCATGCAAGGTCCCATTGTCTACGCTGCCGTGGGTCTCTGTGCAGCAGTTGTGATTGTCATTGTTGCAATAGTGCTGGTGAAGAGGAAGAAGAGTGCCAACTTAAGGTTTTTTTTCTTCTTTATTTCAATCTCAAATTTAACTTTTCCTTGCTCTCTCTCCGTGGGTTTTGGTGTGGGTGGGCTACAAGACTTGGCAACACTTGTCCCTTTGCAATAGGAGATGGTGTCCTTGGTTTGCAGCAATGTTTAGTTTTGTAAACCTTACTGGGAAGCATTTGCACACATTAACCTACTGGTGGTTTGATGTGATGGATAACTATTTTACAGCTCTTCTAATAGCAGCTCTAAGACTTGGGCACAGTGGCTATATGGTGTGAAATGCTAGCAACAGAATGCTAACGCTCAGGATGGCATTTATATCAATGTTATTAGATGCGGGTTAAAATATTATTACTATATTGATTTTAACTTAACTTGGAATCTGTTTAATTGGAGGTTAGTTCTATTGGCTCTCAATTAAGCATGTACAGCAAACTAGCATAGTGGTGATCTGCAGGAACGGATGTCCATTTGTGAAAAATCTGTTTGGATTTGGAATAATCTCGAGCGTGTGGTTTTTAAAATGCCATATCAATCCCTTAGTCGGCACATCTGGTTTCAAAATGGAATAGAATAAGCCTTTATTTTCATTGTACAGTGGTCCCTCGTTTATCGCGTGAGTTGCGTTCTAAAAATAACCCGTGATAGGTGAAATCTGTGAAGTAGCCAACTTTATTTTTTACAATTATTATAGATGTTTTAAGGCTATAAAACCCCCTCACTACACACTTTTCTCAGACAGGCATGAACATTTTCACACTTTTGTCTCTTGTTTAAATACTCTCAAAGTTCATACAATCGTAGAACAATAAGTCCAGTATTATAGAATGAAACCAAAGGCACCCATGGTTGCCTTTGACGGTGCAAAACGTTTTCAGAAAACTTACAAAC